GGAAACCATGTGGTTCCTCAAAACTGGATACCTCCCTTTTGTGTATGCACGCACACACACACCCCTGCATCATTTTGATTGCATCAGAACAGGCACTTGGGGAAACTCTCTATGTATGCTTTGGATCAACTTACAGCTCTGTATTTCATGGCTGAAGGCTGAAATTACAGGATTTTTTGGTAACAATCCTGGAGGTATTCACACTCTGTGCTAACATTTCTGGCTACTTGATGCACCCTTCAATCACTAATAAGTTTTTCTTAGGCCTAAGACACACAAGCAATGATTTAACACTGCCATCTCTCAATGAATCCCCCCACAGCCAAGAAGAGATTTGAACTCAAGTCTCCAGATATCTAGGCCAACGCCCTATCTACGACAGGAACTCGTATCTATATCCTGTTTCCTACAGGCCACAAAACCAGGAGCCCAAGAAACAACTGAGCTTCGTATTGGGATGGAGATGGAAAGGCCGCACCTCAATATTTTTGGAGAAAAGTGTTTCAGAGAAAATCACTCAGTTGTCCATGTACGTGCATAAAATTTGGGGGCTTTCTTTTGCCTCTGAATAAGGCATGTGAACACAAAACGTACTCCTTATTTGCACATCTGTTTCAGACTCTCGCCCCCGCCCCATGTTTTAAGTTTCGGGAGGGGGGGAAAAAAGGCAGGATTGGAAGGGATGGCCTATGGAATGAAAAAGGTGAAGAACTTTGCTTGGAGCAGCTGTGCAAAATGGTCGTGTTTCACCTACAGCAGTGGTTCCCGATCTTGGACTTCAGCTCCCAAAAATCCTGGCCAGCAGTGGTAGTGAAGGCTTCTGGGAGTTGTCCAAGAACATCTGGAGACCCAAGGTTGGGTCTAGAGAACATCTGTCAGGTTACATAGTTGTCCTTCAACGATGTGATTTTCAAACCGAGCCTGTCTTTGGGTGCGGGAGGTGTGCAAAATTGGCTGTGATAACCACACACCCTTCAGCACTTGAGGAGTTCCCTCTTCTAATGACAAGCATCTACCATGCATAGTGTTGTCCGGATACAGGCCAACCCATACCGCCTCCATGCTAATTTATTCTACTGCTGGTTGCCAGAGAGGAGCTCTAGATCCCAATATCGAGTTATGCCGAGTCTGTCATCTGCTTGAGAAAGACCAAAGGCCCCACATACCAGGACCACTTCAGTATATATATGGGCCAATTTCTTTTTGTTAGAGATAAAGTACTTATACTGTACACTTAAAAGACTTGTGGGGGAGTGTGCACTTAAGTTTCAGTGTGAAAATACAAGGTTCTTCTCTAGAGCAGGGGCTGTCGTAACCTCGAGAGGTGGCGGGCCCTCCCAACACTGGAGGCATTCAACAGAAAGTTAGACAACTATCTGTCAGGTAGAGTTCCTCCATGGAGCAGCAGGTTGGACTTGATGACTCCCTTTCAACTCCACGACTCTTTTATGATTTTATGACTGGGGAGGAGATGGCTTTACGGACTGCCAGTGTGGATGTGATATGCTGATATGCCATCATCCTGCTTCTCACCATGGACAGGCTGTTCCAAATACCTCCAAGGACTCATTCTGGCTTGACTGTTTGGCCACAAAGGGCCTAGGGGGTGCTACTCTGGTGGCACCATAACCGTGGGACCAAATGAAGAGGCAAGGCTGCTCGGTATTGCAATGATCCAGAAAAGCCACACTGCTTTTACACCCAGCGCAACCTCTGAAGTTATTCTAGCAAACCTAAGTTTTCCATCTGTGAAGGGGGTCATCTTCTACTTTCCAAAATTCGTTCTGAAACCCCCAAATTTCATAACCTGGACCAAACCGACCAGATATGGTAGCCCTATGAAGTGGAGAGGACTGAGCATCTTGTCCACCTTCGTTACCTGTGGGAAAGAGGACATTTCAGCAGGTGTAGATTTCCTCTTCTCACTATTAGTACAGGAGACCTGTCGGCTATTTCATGTGGCCACCATGTCATGCCTCAGAAAGCCAGTGAGGATGGCCACATGGGACACCCGATAAGAGCTTCTTTATCTTTAATAATTAGGTTGAAGCAGGAATTTCCTCATATGTACCTTTTCTTGTAACCAGCACTTGCTGAAATTCCTACACACACTCGCACACACACAGAGCGGACCATGATCCCTGTGTGTCCACCCTAATCACAGCAGAACTTTCCTTGGTTCTTTCTTCTAATGTGGTAGTTCCCAACACTGGGTCACCAGATGTTCTTAGACTACAATTCCCAGAAATCCTGGCCAGCACAGCTCATGGTGAAGGCTTCTGGGAGTTTTAGTCCAAGAACATCTGGGGACCCAACTTTGGGAGCCACTGTTCTAGTCCATTATGTCAGTACAGCGGTGCCTCGACGTACAAACGTTCCGATGTATGATCATTTCGAGTCACGACCAGCTCCGGCCGCAAAGTTTTGCTTCTACTTGCGACCGGAGCTTCCACTTACGAACAGAAAAAGGCAGGAAAAAAAGGCAGGGAATTCAAGTTTCTAACTGTAGGCGGCGACGAGGCTGCTTCTTCCTAGCTCTTTCGCCCCAGCAGTTGGAGAGTGTGTGATCAGAGGAGGTTCGGGACTGCCTGGCTTCTGCTTCTGTGTGTGTGTGTGTATTTGCAGGGAGGCTTTGGGATGCCTGGTAAGGTAAGGTGCTGTATTCTGCTTTTTAAAAACTGTTCTGGGTGTTTTTGCAGCATGATTTTGAGCTGGGGGAGATTATGTTTCTGTGTTGTGATGGGTCTTCAGGGTTTGTTTGTTTGTTGGGTCCCCGCATTTCCAATGGGTCTTCAAGGGTTTTGTTGCTTTTTTGAGTGTTTTTTTCCCATTTCTGACTGGTCTTGGGGGGTTTGGTTGCTTTTTGGTTTTTTTCTCACATTTCTGATGGGTCCTGCATGCTTCCCTTGCTTTTTCCTTTGTTTTCTTTGCATTTCCAACCTGCCTTCTTTGTTCTCTATGCATTTCTGATCAGCTCCATTTGTTTTCTGTGCATTTCCAATCGGACCTGCATGCTTGATTGCTTTTCTTTCTTTTTTCCCCTTTAGCCGGAAGGGATTAATCACATTTCCAATGAGTCTTGTAGTGATTCTTTTCTTTGGCCGGAACATATTAATTTTATTTCAATGCATTCCTATGAGATATGGTGCTTCAACTTATGAGCATTTCGAGTTACGTCCATCTTCTAGAACAGATTATGGTCGTAAGTCGAGGCACCACTGTATTGTATCTGTTCCCACCTGATTTTGACCAATTTCATGCATCCTTATGCTACAACTCAAGATCACCCTCCTCCTCTTCAATGGCAAAATGACTATCTGCCCCCATCCTCCGATTTCTGATGCCCATTGCAAAAAGTCTGTACCCTCTGTCCCTATTTGGATTATCAGTTGGGGATTCATCCCTCTGGATCATCTCAGAAAGTTCAAAGCATGATTGGGACACCTTTTTTCTAATCTCCTACAAATACTGGAGTAAACTGTTAGACTGACATAAATAAAAGTTTCTTACATATTCTGTATCTTTTCATATCCAACCAAAAAACTACAACTGGGTTAGTGGATGGTAACACTTAGGGCATTTTAAGAAGAGGTGGTTTCTAAAGTGGTGAAAGATGTCTCTTGGTTATAGTATGTGATTGTCCTCGCCAGCATGCCTTGCATTTGACAAATTTTGTTTTGATTTGGTCATTGGAAGATAAAGATAGGCTTAATTAACCGTGAATGCTGAAGCACAAAGCACGTATCTCTGAGGAAATCCTGTTGGTAGGGAAAAATATTAATATATTAAAACATATGAACATGCATTTCCCCTTAATAGAACATAGCAATGGAAAGCAGAGAACCAAGGAGGCACCTCTGGATTGGGAAGAGAAGCATGTAAAGTGCTGTTTGCAAGGTTGAAGGTTGAGGACTGTTACTTTGCGAATGCAAAGAGCAATTAAGAAGGAAAAGCTTCCAAATGTCCTTGTTAAACCCAGCCTTTGGAATGGGAAGATGGAATTAATTAAGTAGAAGAGAGTCTAATTTTGACAAGTGAGTGGATCTCTCCGCTTTACTGGATCACAGAGAAAGTAATGGAAACCTGATGCTGCATATATGTTTCATCATCATAAGATTTAAAAAGCAAGAATAGGAAAGAACATGGGATAGCTGACAGGACAATTCAACTATCAGGTCAGCTAACATCTGTAAATGTGGGATTGCTTCATTACACACAGATTTTCCTATTACTCATTATAATCACCCATATGGGATTCAGTGGCTTGCCAACCTGCTCCTCTTAAAGCAATGGTTCCCAGCTTTGGGTCCGCAGATCTTCTGAAATCCCCAGAAATTCTGGCCAGCAGTTGTAGTTCAAGAACACCTGGGACTCAAGGTTGGGAACCCCTGTTCTAGCAGCTTTGAAGCCACGCCCGAGTTTTGCCCTCATCGCTGAGACGAGAAATCCACCCCTGAGATCTGTATGCAGCTGAAATAAAACATAACCTCACAATACAGAACAAAAGCTTCTTGAAGGGAGCAAAATACTACTTCGGGCAAAAAGTCACTTCTGTGTAATCTGGATTTTTCTCATCTCACCTCTGAGCCTGGAAAAGGTAGTGACTCGCACTACAACTCCCAGAATCCCCAGTGTCCTACAGCCAGGGGATTTTGGGTGCTGTAATCCCGACAGTAGCTTTTCCAAGCCCTCTCCAAAGTTAGCTAGCAGAGGCTTTGTTTAAAGTTACCACCATGGGACCGGCATGGAAACAATTCTTTTTAAAGAGAAGGGGGAAAAAAACGACAGATCCAACAGAGAAAAATATTCAGAAAACGTGGACTTTGGCCTTTTTTTTTTTCCTTTTTCTTTTACCATGATGCCCGGATTCCTCCCAACCCATCCCAGTCTCTCTCTCTCTCATCCTCTGGTTATTCTGTCTGGGGCTGCACGGATTCAGTAGTAAAAAGGGGGAAAAAAACGACAGATCCAACAGAGAAAAATATTCAGAAAACGTGGACTTTGGCCTTTTTTTTTTCCTTTTTCTTTTACCATGATGCCCGGATTCCTCCCAACCCATCCCAGTCTCTCTCTCTCTCATCCTCTGGTTATTCTGTCTGGGGCTGCACGGATTCAGTAGTAAAAGCAGAGGCCTGAGTTTCTGAGGTTCACAACGGCGACAGCAGGTACCACGGCCCACTTGTCTGGCGAAAGGAAACAGGATGACGTCGGGCGAATTTTGCCAGCAACCGGACAATCGTGCCGGAGACAGAAGTGCGGCGCGTCAAGGGGATGCGGTTTTGGGTCTCTCGGTCCTGCCCAAGACGAAGTGGAAGCTCTGTTCTCTGTTTTTAAATTAACTGGACACCGGCTGTAGGTCAGGAGAGCATGACTCCGTACTTTTCTCTCCGTCTCTCTCCATCACCACCCCGCGCAGTGTGGCAGTGGAGGACGGGGGGCTTAGGACTCCGAGGACGACCGGGAGACGGTCTGGAGCAAGGCTTTGTAGATGGACGAGTTCAGAAAACGGGGGTAGGAGTCTCTGTGCATGAGGGTGTAGATTTGGAGCTGTGCGTCGTCGAAGGTGTGAGAGGACGGTTCCTGCATCTTGCGGTTGATGCCTTCCCGCACGCGTGAATCCAGGCTGACCTGCATCAACAGGGGAGGGGGGTGGGTGGGTGGAGGAGATGCACATGTCACTCGGGAGGGAAAAGAAGAGAGGAGAACGGCTGCAGGAGGAAGGGGCCACGGTGGGCGGGTGGGGAATGGAAGCTTCAAAAAGGCCGGAGCAAAAAGAGGAGGGTATGTAAGAGGAGTCACAAAGAAGCTGGTCTTTAGCAGAAGGCAGAATCTGGACCTCCTCATCCAGAGGATTCTGTATCAGTAACATCAAGACCAGCATCCTTCAAATCTGGAACCCTCCAGAAAGACAGGATTACAGTAGGACTGTTATGTCAGCGCGGGATCAGTTCCAAGCCCCCATGCGGAGGCTGAAAAACGAGGATTATAGCAAACACTATTTTAATAGCTGTTATGAATAGCATGGTCTCTGGCTCCCTTTAGTAACCAGTTCTGGTTTCATCTTTAGAAATATATGTTATCTAGGATTTTTCTTTTAATATTTTCAGACTACGAATCAGTGAATCAGTGGATACTGATCCCGTGGATATGAGAATCCTACTGCCAGCTAGGGGTGATGGGAGTTGTAATGTATACAGTGCCAGATTATGGCTGGTGTAGGCAATACCTGAAGCCTGCCGAGGCTGTAAGCAGTTACACCTGGATCAGGAAATGTGGCATCTCTGAAGGGAGAACTTAACTAGACGTCAGCTTCACAATTAGAAAGTGATAAAATGTTTTCCCTCCAGAGAACCAATGTTTTTGAATTTGATTACTTTCTGGTCACTAATCATGAAACAAAAGCACCCTAATTTGCAGGTTGTGGTACTACCTGGGGAATTCTTGCTGAATTCTGAAAGTTGGACACCCCACCCCCCACCCAAACAGCACAGCTCTCATCAACACTAATTGTGCTAATGTTGCTCTACCCTCTTTCCCCGAAAATAAGTCCTAACATGAAAGTAAGCCCTAGTATCATTTTTCAGGAGGATCGTAATATGAGCCCTACCCCAAAAATAAGCCCCAGTGAAGTGAAATACCGCCCTCCATCCTTGTGCACCAACCAGAAAATGACATGGATGTATTTGAATAAATGTAGATTGTCATACATGGAAAAATATAAAACATCCCCTGAAAATAAGTCTTACTGCGTTTTTTGGAGGAAAAATTAATATAAGACCCTGTCTTATTTTCAGAGAAACACGGTAGCATTTCAGTTTCTCCAGCCCTAGTTGGAACCAGCTGAACCCAGGAGCTTCTGCCTGCAAGAGTCCTTGGTAGGGATGGGCATGAAGCACGTCATGCCGTGGCATCACAGGTGCCGATTGTTCCCTACCTCCCACCAGCTGGTGCTCGGGATTTGTTCCCTCCCTGTCGCACAATCTCCCAGTCGCAGCAGGAGCACAGATTTCTGCGCCTCCTCCAGCAGCTGCCCGGTCAGATGAGGAGGCAGGGCAGGGATTCCTGCAGTGCTGCCTGTGACTGGGCAGCTGCTGGAGGAGGCAGAGAAGGAAGTCCATGTTCCTGCCAGTACCGGAAGATCGCACAACGGGGAGCAAATAAGCAGCATACACTGGCTGGTAGAATGGGGGAGCTGGTGGGGTGGTGGTGGTAGGGAACACTCAACACCTGTGATGCCACATTGATGACTTAGGATGACCATGAACCTGCACGAAGTGCTTCGTGTCCATCTCTAGTTCTGGGTTCACTGAGATGCAAGGGCTGCTGGACTCCTCAGTCAAGCTGCACCCTTAGCATCACCATCAAGCTGCACAGTGGGTAAGAGTCTTGGAATCCTGCATTCCTCCCGCCTGATGGATCCTAGGAATTGCTGCTCAAAGCAGCAACGCCTCCCCCCCCCAGCTCTGCTCTAATGGAGAAACACGTTAAGCCACGCTTTGGGTGGGCTGATCCACCGAGTGCAGTACCTCCTTGGGCGAAAGGATGGAGATGTAATCCTCGTAGATCATCCGTGCCTTCTCTTCAATGGCGTGCTTGTTACACTCGCTTTTCAGCTCCTCGCAAGCCAGCCAGAAGAGCATGTTCTCCTCGCTGTATTCAGTCCGTAAGAATTCCCGAAACACGTTCCTGCCGGCTGGGTTTTTCATCAACTTGTCGAACGACTGGGACCAGCCCTTGACTTCCTCCGTGCTGGGTTTGGTGCTGGAGAAGGTAGCCCCCGTCCAGCAGAGGCAAAGCAACGAGGAAGGGGCCAAAAGGAACGACAGAAGGAGAAGAGGAGAGACTTCAGTGACTTTCCAGCATGCTCTGCCTGTCCTTAACCATTTGCCCTCATACACATTCACTGGGGGGGGGAGGGTTGGGTTACGTGGGGTGTCTTAAAATAAATCTACTGTTTCTCCAGTTGGAAACGCCAAACCAGGTACTAAGTTCAGGGCAACAAACTAGAATGATCCCTGGACACTAACATTGCTTTGTTATTGTTATTCTTATTTTGTACACAAAACAGTTCAACCTTTCACATCTTTTCAAGCAGAGCATTTTTTTCAGCATAAAGAAAGATGAAGGAGAAAGCTTGGAAAAGTTACTTTTGGGGTTGTTGGCACCCAGAATCTTCCAGCCCACTAGCAGCCCACTGGCTGGGGTATACTGAAAAGCTCTAGTCCAAAAAAGTAACTTTTTTAAGTTCATAGTAAGAGTAATGCACATGCACGCAAATGCACCTGGATACAGGGCAAACCTTCTGTGACTGGGAAGAAATCCGGTCAATGCAGCACTTATGCCATTCAATTTATGCCTCACTATGTGATCTAGCTGGTGGCTGAGATAATTCTATTGAAGTAGCCCACTTCTGATCAAAAACAAACCAATTATATTAATTATAATTTGTTTTTAATTTTACCTATGTTTTATATACATCCATAATTTTAAACTGTGCAACACTCTGGTATGAATAAAGAAAGATGCTAATAGATACCCAGTTCCCCCCCAAAATAAGACCTAACCTGAAACTGAGCCCTAGTATGATTTTTCAGGATGCTCGTCATATCAGCCCTACCCCCAAAATAAGCCCCAGTTAAGTGAACCCCTGCCCTCCACCCTTATGCAGCAACCAGAAGAAGATGACATGACTGTATTTGAATAAATGTAGATTCTTGTACATGGAAAAAATAAAACATCCCCTGAAAATCAGCCCTAATGCATTTTTTGGAGCCAAAATTAATATAAGGCCCTGTCTAATTTTCGGGGAAACAGGGTAGTTTGGTCCATGCGAATACCTAAAAGTCTGCACGGCATCTAAAATAAAGTTAATAATGCATTTCAAATATGCATGCGTTGTCTGATGAGCCCTGTGCCTTTTCCTGAAAGATATCCGTGGGAGCTGGGTGTCTGCCAATACGTGCAGAAGCAACACACATGCTTTGTGATGAAAGTAAAGAAACAAAATGATAACAGTGTGGCACCTTAAGCTTCTAGCAAGCAACCACACAACACTGGGGCTATTACAGTGGTGCCTCGCTAGACAGTTACCCCGCATGATCGTTTTTTCGCTAGACATTGACTTTTTGCGATCGCTATAGCGATTCACAAAACAGTGCTTCCTATGGGGGAATTTTGGTCTTTGCTTTGCAAACCGATTTTCGCTAGACGACGATTTTGACAGCTCCCTCCGCACTCGCAAAATGGGTGTTTTGGGGATCAAAGCTTTGCAAGACAGCGATTTAAACAGCTGATCGGCGGTTCGCAAAGCGGCTTTCCTATGGCCGATCTTCGCTAGACAGCGACAATTCTTCCCCATTGGAACGCATTAAACAGGTATCAATGCATTCCAATGGGGAAATGCTTTTCGCGAGACAATGATTTCGCTAAACAGCGATTTCAGTGGAACGGGGATTATCATCATCTAGCAATGCACCACTGTATATGGGAAAAAAGCCACTTGGACTTAACTGTTACATACAGCACTGATGTTACCTGTCTGTCATGGGGTTGGAGGGAAAGTTCCATCCTATGGGGAGTGGAAGGCGGGACATCAGGAGGAGGGGCTGTACTGTATATATATATGT